CAGTGAAGGTACATCACTGCCGGTTCTCACAAATCCGGCAGTGATGATGCCGACAGTGATGTGCAAATCTAGCGTAGTGTTTTATCTGTCTTTTTTGGTATGTTACAACTATTACATCTAAATATTTTAAAAGTAGATCGGTGTTGCATACTGAATGCGCGTAGAAAGTGGCTAGCAGTGCGGCCCGACATCTGCGGTTGCGCGAGCCCACTACTGGTGTGCTCACTTACGAGGCCGACACGCTAAGCGCTCGCTCGCTCCCTATGTGACACCATCCGGATGCTAACGCTCGAATCAGATATTCGGACGCTAGCAAGTCCGATAAAAAAAACAATAACTTTTAAGCCAAATAATTGACCGACGATAACTATAGGAATATGTGTATTTGTGCTAATGAACGTATACCTGCTCAGCTGCTCTGTTTACGCAGGCCTGGCCAGCTTGGCACCTTGCTATTGATATTTACGAGTAAAATGCATGAATGGTTGTTAGACTTATCTCGTTATATTATTTAGGTCTCTGTACTTTGAAAATATATTTTTAGGTATCTGAACTTATTATGATGTGTTGTCGAGTTCTAGAATCTCGAAATTTTATTTTTTTAAGTCTTTAGACTTGTCACAATGTGTCATCTATGTTCAAATGAGTCATAACCAATCCACATGTTGGTCTCTAGACTAGCACTCCATCTACATGCTCTCTCTCTCTCTCTCTTCTAGCTGTATCCCCGTGCTCCCTCCCTATCTCGGCATTCCATTCTAGTTTGGTGTCTTTATCGCCGTCGCCAACTAGCCATTCTCACCTCATGCCTTCATCATCCTCCATATCAAGGGTCATGATGTCATCAATAATGGTGGTGGTAAGGCCAAAGCGAGTGCTCCTTAGACAGAGGAATTGTGATATGGAGTAGATTAGGTCTATTTGGACCTAAATGACACACTATGACAAGTTTAGAAAACTAGATGATACACCGATATAAGTCATGGAACCTAAAACTAGCATTTTTTAAAGTTTGAGGCCTAGATTGCACACAAAGACAAGTTCTAAGACCTAAAAATGTATTTTGGAATTTGGGGATCTAGATGACATGATGAGACAAGTTCAGAAGACTGCCCGTGCATTATACTCAATATAATTTTTATAGGTCAATTACTAGTACGTTCTCTCACTAGTAGAGAAACGGGCTGTAGTCCCAGTTTTGAAACCGGACTACGCAATCGGGACTAAAGGTCTTGATTTTTAGTCTCAGTTCCTCCAACCAGGAGTAGAGGTGTTTATTGGGTAAAAAAAAGTTACAGCTGTGGAGATTCGAACCTACGACCTCCCACTTTAGCTCTTGCACGCGTTACCATCTCACCTACCACCACACATCTAACTTAGATAAGATACGCTTTCGTTTTAAATTCAGTTTGGAGACACCTTTAGTCCGGGTTTGAGACATAAACCGGGACTAAAGGTACCTTTAGTCCAGATTCATGTCTCAAACCGAGACTAAAAGTCACACTTTTAGTTCGGGTTCATGTATGGGACTAAAGATTCTCGTCACTGACGTGCCTCTGACACACCTCGATAACCGTTGGGCAGGGACCTTTAGTTTCGGGTGTAACTACCAACCGGGACTAAAGGTTTCTCTAGTTCCGGACGCGAAAAATATCGGGACTAAAGCCAAATTTCGAAGTGGATGGAAAATCGTTTCTCTACTGGTGTCTGTTGTGAGAAAATTTCAAATGCAGTGACTGAGTGATTTTTAGTCAACGAAGAGAAAGCCCGGATATCGATCGCGGATGGCAGATACGGCGATCGAATTCCAGTACAAAAGATCATGGTGGGATCATTCCTCAACGCCGGTGGTCCAATCTAGCGGCCGGTTGACGGTGATCTTGCACGTACTTACGCTGGCAACCATGTCCTCATAGTCATAGACCTCCGGGTTCAAACGCTCTACACGCCTGTACTTGCAAAAACAGTACCAATATATACTCCCAGCACAACTCCCGCCATTCGTGGGTACCAAAAAGGTGAAAAAAAAGAAGAGTTGAAAAGCTGCGCTTGTATGTGGCGTTGCACTTACGATAGGTAACTGGCAACAATGTCTGAGTGACTGGCAACAATGTCTGAGTGGCCATAGAGAGAAGCGCACTTCAGAGGTAAATCACGGAGTAACTCGTTAGTTATCGGCTCCTTTACTTGTTTTATGTCTCTATCATATCACAAGAAAGCTATGTGGTAGACCGAGAAGTCCTTTGAATCTGAGCTTGCTTAACTTGGTGCATAATCGCGTATTTGCTCACACAGCGTGCGAAAGAGGCGGTGCGTGCGCATGCATCTGCCAGAACAATCCGTAAAGTTGCATAGTTTATTGGATGAACGCTTGCATAATTGTGCCTTCTAATTTTGTCCTTTTGGTTAAAATTTAGCACTCTAGTGTGCCTACAATTTCCATCAAAACAACACAACAACCAAGAGAAAGGTCAATTAACAATTATAAAATCCCTCAACTATGGATCTAGTCCAGCTTTTATATAACCTTCAACCACGAAACGTTCAATTTTGACTAATCAATTAGCGAAAAATTCATTTTTCAGCATTGGCTCAAATTTTATTTGTTGCTCGCACTATGGGTATCTCCAACTTAAATACATTTATAGTTTTGAAAAGGAGTATAATTTGTGTACTGCTAGAAAAACTAAAAAAATAGACCTAAATCCACTCTAAATTCAAGTAAAGATTAAAATCGGTTTATATACAAGTGTTGAAAGTTGAATGATTCTGTTGTTAGGATTGAAAATTAGACTCGTCAAGGGTTGTAAAGTAGACCTTTTCTCCTTTAACACGGTAGTAGACCCCTAAACTTGTTAAGTGGTACACCGCAGGCCCATGCCAGCCATGTGGACATTTTTGCTGATGTGGCATTGCTAGAGTGGCATGTATTTTTCATTTAACCCCTCAGTTTTATTTTTCTTTGAGTGAAATACACTGGAGGCCTTTTAACTTGTCGGCCTATGCCAGTTCGGAAAATGGGCCCCTGAACTTGTCAAGTTGTTCACCGCAGGCCCATTTCCCTTCCGACGTGGCCTCCAGGCGACGTGGTAGCGCTAGCGTGACGGACGAAGCACGTGACCCGCACATTTCAATACCGAACGCAAGTGACAATATGCATCTAGGCCCCTCCGCCTCGTCAAATCTCCAAAATCCTGTCTTCTCCTCTTCAAGTTCATTGTGCTGGGGGCGAGGGGGCGGCGGGGGCGAGGCAGCTTGCGACGGAGGCAAAAGTCGGTGACTTTGCAAGATTTTGCGGAAGAGCAACAACGAGACGTACCTTGGGAGCGTAGGTTTCCGCCGCGATCACGGTGAATCTGTGGCATGGCGCCGTGCCTACGATCGGTAGGGGAACCATCGCCGGACTACGGTTGGTCAATCAAAGCTCAAAACCTTCTTATTAGTGCGTTTAGGATGTGGTGGTGTGCATGTACTTGTTCCTGGTGTAGGCCAATTTCGTTTGTTTTGGTGGCTAGGGTTTAGGGTTCCTAGTGTTGCCTAAATAAATCAAGTAGTAATGAGCATCATTTGGTTCAACGTAGGCGATGCTGAGAACAAGTTCACTATTGAGGTGCACCACTGTGGTTTCTTTATTGGTCAGGATTCGAATAAGGCTTACATTGATGGAAAAGTGAACTGGTTTGACCATTGCGAGGTAGATACCTGGTCTCCATTATGGTTCTTGGATTTTGTTGATGAGTTGAAATATCCTAAAATAGATGCTCTGAAGATATACTGGTTGCTTCCTGGAATGGATCTTGCTCGTGGACTTAGAGTGATTGAGTCAGATTCAGAGACATTGGTGATGACTGGCATTGTTGATAGGGTGAAGAACCTTATTGTCTATTTTGATCATGATAACAGCATGCCTCGCAAAAACTGGGATGACATAGTGACAAACCCAATTGCTTCACTGCCTGAAGTAATCAGCCCAGCCAAGGGAGGATTTGTTGGGAAGGAAGAAGGAGAAGAACTGCCACCATTTGAAATGGAGCAGGATTCAGTGCAGCAAGATTCAGTGCAGCATGATGTGCATGGAGATGATGGTGACAGTGAAGATGATTCTGATTTCAGTGATAGTGATTATGATTTAGAGGGAGATGGTGATGATATTTTTGTGGACTATGTTGATGAGGATGTCATAGAGGAGACTGGCAGCAAAGGGCAGTAGAAAGGTAAGGGCAAGAAGGCTGTTGGTAGCAAACTGAAGGGAAAAAATGTTTCATCTTTGGCTGTTTATGGAGAGGAGTCAACAGATGAATCTGAGCTAGAATTGCTAGAATCTGATGAAGAAGGACAAGGTCTAAGGTTTAAGTCATTCAGAAGTGAAGATAGACAATCTCATCTTCAAAGTTGACATGATATTTGAATCAGTTGAGATGCACAGGAAGGCTATCGCACAATATAGCATGAAGCAGAGGGTAGAGATCAAGATGTCCAGGAATGAGAAGAAAAGGTTGAAGGCTCATTATGCAGATGGGTGTCTTTGGAATTTATATGCTTCAAGTGATAGCAGGGCTCAGGGGTTGATGATCAAGCCTTATCATGGGCAGCACACTTGCCAAAGGAAGTGGACATTGAAGAGATGTACCTCAAAGTGGCTTGCTCATACAAACTTAGAGTCCTTTCGGGCTGACCAGAAGATGACACTAACTAACTTTGCAAGGATAGTCCAGAAGGAATGGAATCTGACACCCCCCAAGAACTACACTTGCTAGGGCCAGGAGACTTGCTATGAAGGTGATACTTCATGATGAAGAAGAGTAGTACAATAAGTTGTGGGATTATGCACATAAATTGAGAAGAAGCAATCCAGGGAGCACTTTCTATCTTAATCTTGCTAGAAACCTATTCTCATCCTTGTATGTTTCTTTGGATGCCTGCAAGAGGGGCTTCCTAGCTGGTTGTAGACCTATAATCTGCCTAGATGGTTGCACCTTAAGACTAAGCATGGAGGGATAATGCTCACTGCAATTGGAATTGATCCAAATGACTGCATTTATCTAATTGCATTTGGAGTTGTAGAAGTTGAGTCTCTGGCTGCTTGGAAGTGGTTCTTGGAAACATTGAAGCAAGGCCTAGGCATTGAAAACACATACCCATGGACTATCATGACTAACAAACAGAAGGTACCAGCTTTTGCATATCTTCTTAACTTGCAGCTGTAGTATTCATGTTAATCTGTTCTTGTCCATTTGGAGGGTCTAGTACCAGCTGTTGCACAGGTTTTCCTAGAATCTGAACACAGGTTCTGTGTTAGACACCTATATTCCAATTTCCAGATGCAATTCAAAGGTGAGAACTTAAAGAACCAACTTTGGACTTATGCTAGGTCAACCACAGTAGTTAGGTGGAATGAGAACATGGAGAAGATGAAGGTCCTTAACTAGAAAGCTTTTGAATGGCTAGAAAAGATGCCACCAAATACTTGGGTTAGGGCTTTCTTTAGCACTTTCGCCAAGTGTGATATTCTACTAAACAATAGTTGTGAGGTATTCAATAAATACATACTAGATGCTAGAGAAATGCCTATCTTGAGCATGTTAGAGCAAGTGAAGACACAACTGATGACAAGGTATCATACAAAGGACAAGGATGTAGGGACTGTGTGGGATGGTCCTATTTGCCCCAAGATAAGTGTCGGTGTTTTGAATTACCACCGACGAGTAAATTTCTAATATTGCGCGTCTGGTTCGGATGGTGTGCTTAGAGGACATGAGATTTATACTAGTTCGGACAGAAAGTCCCTACATCCAGTTCGTCGCTGCTGCTTGTGTTACTAGCACTGAAAGTTTGTAGTAGGGGTTACAAATGGGTGAGAGAGGGAAAGGATCCCAAGTCTCTAGTGGAAAGAATGAATGGGTGCTGAGAGTTCGACTGCTACTCAGCCGAGTGTTCGTGTAGTGCTCTTGTGTTGATCTAGATCAGATCTCGATGGGTCGATCGATTCAGGGCCCCTTCATGGGATGCCATGCCTTCCCTTTTATAGGCCAAGAGAAAGCACGGGTTATAGCGAAGGAAAAGAGAAGAACGAGAGAGAGGAAGGCCTTCAGGATCGCCGGGTCCTTCTCCTCCTTCACATGGGTCCTACCGACCCTGTAGATGTCAATAGGGATAGCTCCACGTCATGGCCCTGTCCGTCACTGGTGCCATGCATAGGCATCATTTGCTGGTCATGGTGTTCCATCCCGTCTCGGTGGACGTCGTGGTGAACTGACGCGCATGTCATCGTTCATACGAGGGTTAGGCAAAATAGCACCGGCACACCCGACGTTGTTCTTGATGTGAACCCTCAGGTATGGCCCATCATGGCCATGGGTTACATCAAGGCATGCTAGTCTCTTCCCTAGTGTCAAAGCTTTGACCTAGGCCCATACGCTTGGACCTGGAGTGGTTGGTGGCAGTATGGGTCCCTATTGGGCGGGGCGGAGCCTGCACCCAAGGGGTCAGGCAAGGTGGAGCCCAAACCCAAGGGTTGGGCAAGGCGAAGCCTGCGGCCTTGAGGTCGGGCGAGGCGGAGCCCGCGACCTTGGGGTCGGGCGACGCGGAGCCCTCGGCCTTAAGGTCGGGCGAGATAGAGCCCGTGACCTTGGGGTCGGGCAAGGTGGAGCCCTCAACCTTAGGGTTGGGCGAGGCGAAGCCCTTCCCCAGAGGTCAGGCGAGGCAGAGCCTGGGCACCTAGGGGTCGGTTGGAGCTATAGTCGTGCTCTTGACTACTCAGATGAATCAATGTTGATGACCATTAGCTCCTCCTCTTCGGGTACCCTAGTATATATAAGTCCCCGACAGTAGCCCCCAAGCCTGTGGAGGAGTAGAAAACTCCTTCGGAGGCTTTTCTAAATGGGAGGACTCTAAGGGCCTTAGCCTTCCTTTATCGCCCATGGCATGTCCTGGGGACGGTGATTCTCTTTCATCGTGATCGGACTCCTCGGGGGTATAGCCATGAGATTTGGTGGGTTAGAAAAGGTCTTTCCTAATTCCGACCCCTACGGGGGTCTGTCGTTCTATGACCGCACGATCGGTCTCCTTGCGAGTCCAACTTTCCTCAAGCCCCTACCCATAGCAAGGGTCTGGTCGAGGCTCGGCTCATCTTTGAGGTCGTTTTCCCTCAAACGTTTTTTCCGATAAAAACAGAGAGGTTGTGCCGTGCCATGATTTTCCTCTATGGACAAATCATGGTGCTTGGTGAGCTGTTAACAGGCTAGCCTGAGTGGGGCCTCGGCATCCCGTTCATGGGGGTCTGGCTTGGGTCAGCTGGTGACCGACTCTAGATTCTCCGCGATGAATCCATATAGTTCTCAAGTTCGTTCGACCGGTCCCAAGGGCTCTCTGCCTTTCTTTGAGGAAAAAACATGGATCGTATCCGGCAGAGACTCGAATGTGAGCCAGGATGCCCGTGGTGCTCATGTGCCCAAGTACTGGCCACTAGCGGGCCCATCCCTTTCCACCCCTCGCTCTTAGGGTGCCCTAGAGCTGCCGTGAACCTATCGGTGGGCTAGCCTTCGAACTCCTAGGCCTGAATAGGTCGTAGGAGCATTTTTAGCTCTGTATCCCTCCTTACCTGTGATGGTTCTTGGCTTATCGATCAGGCAAATCGTTATCCGGCATGTCCTTTAAGGGCACGGCCAGAGATTGCGTGCGCACGATCTTCAGAGGAAGGTGTCATGTCGTGGCGCAGCGGGCGCGTGAATCTAGGCGGACGGTTCACCTTCTCACTCTGCTCCACCTTATAAATAGTGGCCTTCCCCTTGATGTCTCTACACACTAAAACCGCAACCTTACCTTCTCTATTTCTCCGCCATCGCCGTTTTGGATCTGCCGTGCTTGCTAGTCCGCCGTCGGAGCCCTAGATCCATAGCATCCGCTCCTCCGCCACCGTTGAGCTCGCATCCATCCACCCCCACCTCCAATGGATCCGTGGTGCTATTCCAACATCACCTCCCAATGCATGGAGGGCCTCATCCATCACTGTCTTCTCCGTGCACGAACCACGGCCATGGACTAGTTGCTGCCCGGCGACGAGGACGAGGATTCATCGTCGCCGCCCGACGGCTACATGGTGTCATTCACCCAATTCCACGAGCGTGGGCTCATGACCCTGCCCATAAATTCCTCCAGGGGCTGTTGCACTTCTACAAGATCAATCTACAACATCTCAATCCCAACGAGATCCAGCACATGGCTGTGTTCATCACGCTATGCGAAGGATTTTGGGGATCAGCCCCACTTTGACTTGTGGAGGTATTTCTTCGCCGTCAGCCTCCAGAAGAAGAGGGAGAAGGGCGGCAGGCAGGAGCTACACATGCCGATGGGGTGCGCTGGCATCCAACTTCAGAACAATTTTGTTGGTGAGTACCCATCCATGCGACTCTCGACGTCCAACAAGGGGTGGCACTCGCAGTGGTTCTACCTCAAGAATGACATCGCCGCCCTTCTGCCGGAGTTCACCGGGTGCCTGATCGAAGAGACCCTGGACCAGTGGACGAAGTGGGGCATCCCAGAGAAGGACAAGAAGAAGATCCAAGACCACATTGCCGCCATCCATATCTTGAAGGAGAATGGCCTAAAAGGGTCAGGCGTCATTGGGGCTTACCATGCAAGGAGGGTGGCGCCGTTGATGACGCGCGTGCCCCCGCTATACGTGATGGTGCCCGAGGCATCGTTCGATGGAACGGCGCTCGCTGAGGGAACGCTCCCCAACTCCGAGATCATGCAACGCATCAAGGAGGCGATCGAGCCTTTGTGGGATGACACGGGTGCCGCCCTTGACTTTGTCTACCCGATGCCGGGGCATCCTCCGATGCGGCTGGAGCCAGGCTACGTTGTCTTTGTAAGTTTTCCTTTCTCTTGACTTCTCTTCAATTGATTTTCCAACCCCGTGAGACTAACTTTGAGAGGGGTGGGGCCAACCGAGGGACCTCATCCTCATGGATCACCTGACACCGCTGCCGAGGGATTTGGCCGTGAGGGTGGCAAATCACGCCGAGGGCGAGCGGCTGAGGAAGGCGAAGGAGGACAAGAAGATGAAGAAGTTGTGAAAGTTGCGGGAGTGGGAACGAGGGGAGGACACTGACGATGATGATGACGATGATGATGGTGATGACAACGAGGTGATGGAGGTAGCCGATGATATCTAGTAGGACAACCTAGGGAATGAGGATGTGTTGACAGGCATCGATTCATCCTTGCAGGCATCGGGACCCTTCCCATTCCATAGAGGGGAGAGTACGTCTAGGGAGCCGATGGAGGTGGGCCATACCATCGGCCTGCCCCAGGAGCCAACAGAGGCGGGCGGCTCCGCCGTCGCGCCCCAAGTGCCAAGGGGAGCGGGCCATTCCGCCAATGTGCCCCAGGAGCTGCCAGGGGTGAGCCCCTCTGCCCAGGAGTAGGGGCGTGCTCAAAATAGCCTTGTTCTGATGAGGTGGAGCAAGGGTCGGGGGGTTCATTCCCCACACGCGTCTGCCGCCCGACGGCACTGAGGTGAGTCATCAATTCCTCTGTTTTTTCATGTTTTAGTTAGATTTCATCGTGACTTATGTCTTTTGTCCCTTGCAGCGTCGGTAGACACCAGAATCCTTCGGCGCTGGCGCTGAAGAAGAGCATCACCCTCCAATTGGGGCAGCGGCCATCAGCTGGTGTCACACATGTTTCAGGTAGGAGCAACGCCAGTGTGATCGTGTCACTGGCCGGTCGGGCGCCGCCCACGGTGGCGCCTATACTCATGGAAGGACGGGCAGACATGGGTGTTCTAGGGGTGCCTTCGGAGGTCACGGAGGCGATCGACGGCTGCAATACTGCTGCCGATGGCGGGGTGGATGAGGCTACCGACCGTGCTCATGGTGCCGACCGTGGTGGGCACGACGCAGGTGGAGGTGGCGGCGACCGTGATAGATAGGTCATAGCCAGGCTTAACCATAGCGTTGTCTGAGGCATTGGCGCGACCCAAGCCATCGGACAGAGGGGGACGCTGACGAGGGGTCTCCGGGAGTCATGGTGCTAGGAGAGAGGTTCATGTCCGCACCGCTGACCCCTTCCATCACCGAAGGGGGTGTCCCGGTGGAGACGTTATGGCGAGAGGGGTCGATGGCGCTTGGGTCCGGCGGGGAGTCATCCCTGACCCTAACATCAGTGGGCAGTGGCTCACCTACGCGGGGCGAGCCCCTGCTCTAGTGGGTGGATCCATAGGATCCGCCGTCGACGCTTTTTACCCTTGACGACGCCGTAGAGGGCATGGAGCGAGAGAGCCTCGATGTAGGGATCGCGTCCATGCTCGAGGCCCTAGACCACACCGTGGGCACATTGCATGACATCGTTGTTCCCTCTGGCCGGGTATTGCTTGGTCCTATTTCTTGCCCTTTTCTTCCTCTATATACTTTTTGTATCCTGACCA